TATTAGTAGTAGTAGTAGTAGTATTATTATTATTATCATTATCATTATCATTATTATTATTATCATTATCATTATCATTATTATTATTATTATTATTATTATTATTATTATTATTATTATATATATATACAGGGGCCGCATGGCCAGCAACGTCGCAGGTCTCAGTGCGCCTCTCCAAAGAGGCAAGCTTCTGCGCCACTTCCGTCTTCCACGAATCCATCGCGTGCGGCGTGGATGCACTCATGGCGAAGGCAGCGGAGCACGAGATGGTGCGGGAAAAGCTTGGAAAGGACGCCGACTGATCGCAGAGATGTTTGCAGCCAGTGCAGGTTGGGGCAAATTGACGCGCGATAGTTGCACGATGCATGCTGCTTAGCTCTGCAACTTGGAATTCTTGCGAGCCGCAAGAATGCGCACGAGCAATGACACAAAAACGTTGTGATTACTGCGGATGCTGGTGCTTTTAACTTGGTTTACGCAAGTGACAGCTTTCTGCATATCAAGAATTAGCAGCATGACTCCAGCCAATCCTCCTCTCGCCGGCTTGGTCGTGGCCAAATGACGGTTTGCACGATTGCTGTTGATACCATTACCGCCAGCAGCCTTGCTACGATCCCTATTGACCCTATGCTTCCAAGGACCTTCTAGNNTAGTTAGGGCCCTAGACCCCTTATGGACGCAAGCATAGGGTGAAGATGGCCGATTGTCATCTTACCTACCCCACGGTGAATTGCCCTGCGGCCTGGCCCTCAGAATCGTAAGGTCCCAACACTTCCTGGTTGTCTAGCACAACTATGCTATTCTAGACGACCCGTCGCATCCCCAGAGATACTTCACTTCACCTGGTACCTGTAGCAGCCATGTGCTAGGACTCAGTGTTTGCGACCCAGCTTAGGAAATCGACCCGTTTGAACAGAAGTTCGCGGTTGAACCTCGCGGACCCTCGGACCCTCTCCGCCAAAACCCTCATCCCCAACAGCCTCAGGGTCCCAGACGCCCCGAACTCTCAGGCCACGACCAGAGGAAATCCGGGGCGCAGATTTCCATCAGCTTACATACTAGGCATTGGCCATGCCAGCCGAGCCACAACGGCACATCGAATGCGAACGGAGTCTCACACTCAGACGCACCATCACGCGAGGTGACAGCGACTGGCAGCTACTGGCGAGTGCCAACAACCATGGGCATCCAGAGATCCGTGACTTTCTTGACTTACGGGCGATTCCTCGCGTGTCAGATGCGTGGCCAAAACGAAACGGAAGAGAAGGATTCGAAGAATGGCTACAAGCTGTGCCTCACCAGACCACGCACAGTATGTATGCTGAACAAACTGCCGACACATCTGGTGACGAAAGGAGCTGACGGTCTGCAATGCGTACGAGGCCTCGTACATGGTGCTTCCGCTGCTCTCAAGCCCTCAGGAAGACAAAAGGCTCTAGTGCAGGCTCTCCTTTCGGGCGCTTTCGGGCGAAATTCGTAAGTTCTCGCTTGGAGTTGGCGCAATCATTAGCGTCGGGGCCTATCAGGTATTAAGGAACGCAGTCACAACTGACCCTACTCAGCATGACAATCCTAAAGACCCAGCAAGAAACTTCCCAAGGACTTGCTGCTCTTTTTCTGTCACCCGCATTCTCATGCAGGCTCGAAGCCGGGTACATCTTTGCCATCGGCATCTCGATGTCCCAGGATTTCGTTGAAACGCCGCCTGCGAGCTGGGCAGCGGCAGGCAGGGACAAAAAGCTGCGGGGTTTAGGGTTTAGGGTTCAGGAGGCTTTCCAGGTGGTGCTGCCAGGCTGCCTGACCGTGCGCCAACTCACGGATTCAAACATCTCGTCTGCGTTGCCAGCTCGCGCCACCATCAGGGCACGCATGCCCAGCGGCGTTGACCTTCGAAGCTCCAAGTTCAAGCCGCCTTCCACGGTCAGATCCGCCACCGCCCAGACCCAGCCACTTTCATCGTCGGGGCCAGTGAAGGGCTCACCCTTCTGCATGCACTCCTCTTCAGAGCCCGAAACGTCAAGCTCTCGAAGCCCGCAATTCGTAATCTTCTGCCTACACCTTCGGAACTTATCCTGGGCCTTGTTTGGTCATGCCGAAAGCGTGGATAGCGTGGGGGATAGCGTGGGAATGATGCTACAGGATGCCCGGTCTCTCTCTGATGATGATGTTCTTTTTGCATGGTGACAGATGTCGCAGAAGATGAAGCCTGGAAGATTCTCGAAAAAATCGCTTCACGAATCACGAACCGCAACGAGCGAAGTCCTTGAAGGACTCGAAAGCGGCTTCATGGTCTCCTCGCCCGTGGAAGTCGCCGTCCCCGAAGCATTTCGTGATAAGATCCCTCTCCAAACCTTTGGGAGGCCCGCCATCTCCACCCAGCGTATCTAAGTAGAACCTCAGATGCAAAGGCGACTTCCATGTCTTCCCGACCCCGCTTCACGTCGTGAGGCACCGAGGTACGGTAGAGCCAAGGGGCTGGTTTGGATCAACTGGTGCATACTTGGCCTTCTTCCGAGAAACAAACTTCACTGCGGATCGGGCCACAAGCTGGTCTTCTCGACTAGGTCGGCTTATCACACTGCCAGTGAAGCACAGGCAAGCACCGACGGCACAAATCGCGGCCGCCACAGCATGTCGGGAGCTCCCCCTTCTCCTTTCCATCTTCATGCGCTGTGCCGGCACCTGGCTGATTGCTCCTCCTTGAGCTGCAACAGCAGCAGCAGCAGCAGCTGCAGCAGAGGAACTGCTTACAGCAAGCATGCGATTGACGGCCACGCGGCAGAAAACACAATGTGCTCTTTTTCGCGAGGTCTATCGTCTGAACCTGCTGTAGGGGCCGAAGAATGGCAAATATTGCCGAGAGAGGAAGGGCCGAAACTTCCAAGAAAAGCACTACACTGGCCAAACCAGGCACAACAAACCAAGCATCCATGCGGCGCTGACAACAGCATCACCTGTTGAATTCTTCCTGACTTACCGTTGTTCCTCTTGGTAAACTAGGTTGTGCCTGGCTCTGCTCTGTTAGCAGAAACTGCAGAAACTGTCAGATTCGACAAAAGGTTTGGTGATCTGACACCGAGAGTCACTCAAGCTACGTGAGGGCCATCGGGCAGCATCAAAGGCGCAGCAGAGCTTCACAAGAGGGCTTTTCTAAAACCGAGGGGATGGGGAAGGTCGAGATCTTCTCACGCCGCGACCTTCTCGGACACG